GTAGACGTTATTTCGGTCTGAGCACCGAGGGTAGTGATGGGACACCCTGTATGTGAGAATGTTTTATTTAGTGTAAGTGTGGGGGATTATCTACGAATAAGCACAAAGTTGGTTTATAGCATTTGAATATGTATCTCAGTGTTGTTTTTCCTTTTAGAAGTTTTGTACATGCGTGGTACTTGTTTAGATTTTAACGCTTTTTTTAAAATTCTTTATTTAGATTTGTGTATTAATAGCGCCACTAGATATGGTCTGGAAACATGAGAGTCACGCTATAGCACAATTTGAAACACATTTTGGTTTGAAGGTCGACCATAATATGGTCTGTTTATTTCCAAGTGAATGCTACCTAGTAGCAAATCCAGAGGGCATAGTGGAGACGCTATTGTCGAAAGAAAAGGTCCCAATGCATTATGGAAAACTGGAAAAAGATTCAACTGAACTGCGCCACACGGGCCGGCAATAGTGGTTTGCGATCGGCTCGGCAGTGGTAAGATATAAAGCATGTTGCGCATACGTCATCTTTAATATTAATAGTATTACGAGCATGTTATGACGCTCCTTAACTAGCTCCTAGCGAGTTTATAATTTTATTTTTCATTTGCCTATTATATGACAATTATATCTGTCATATGAGATATATAAAGCAGTCTATGACGCCCGAGGGCATAATGAGAGGGCATAATGAGATGACAATCCATTATGCCCTCTCATTATGCCCTCAAACTGCCTGTCAAATATATTGATGGAGTTATGTCATAAAAAAAAGATGCTACTTGATTCGTATGAAGCACTAACAATAATCATTACATTTGTATATTGGAAATGCATTATTTGGAACGATGAAAAATAAAATGTTGTATGCACCTCAGGCATTACTCGATATTTAATCCTCGGGCGACTTACAATCCCTTAGGCCAGAGGCCCTCGGGCTCTGTCGCCCTCGGCATAAATATCGCCTTAATGCCCTTGATACATAAATAACTATTACTGTGTCCGCCCGTCCCTCCGTCGATCCATTAGCACGATATCTCGAAAACGAGTGGACCGATTACGATGAAATTTTGCAGGTGGATTCTTTATCAAATAATGGAGATCAGAGTTCGTGAATTGGCACTGTAGGGCAAAAAATAAGGAAGCCCCTTTTGACATCTCCGTTAGATATGAACCGAATTGAATTAAATTCAATATGGGCATAGCTCTAGCCGGATAATACGCAATGCCAAAAGTTGAATCTAATTGATTCAAGATTCAGAGTGCCCCTTTCGTATCTCGACCATTTATGAACCGAATTGCAAACTTTTTTATTTATGAAGTTAGTTGCTTGAATTGGGGAATTTGTGAATTTTTTATTAGCTACTTTCATCTCACGTTGATTAAACGTTTATTCGTTTATTGAATTGGGTTTGCACATACATATGCTAATCTCTGGCCCTCTGTGTTTGCATTTTTATCCTACCTGCATAATTGTTTAGTTAGCACTTTAACAAGTCAAATATTTGGAGTTAAGATACATGACGTAGTGTGGCCAAATTGTGCAACAATATTGTCCAAACACAACATACGAACGTAGGGGGGTAACATCCATATGCAGCAGCTAAACTGTCCGCAAGGCGCGGGTGTGTCTGTAATGGAAACGTAAAGTGAATTTTATATATATATATATATAGATATATATATATATATATATATATATATATATATATATTTGTGTAATTCATATTACAAGTCTAATTCATATATCTCATATTACTTTTTCTCCTGTCAGAATTTACCTAATAGAATAGGTAGAATTCGGACATCTACTGGCGAATGCGTCTTACACACTTTCGTAACCCGACCCACATCGTTGGGAGTTGTGGCAGTTTTTCAACAAATTTGGGTGCATTAGAACCTATTTCTTCAAAGTTGGTGAGCTAGCGGTAAAATGGATGTTCGCGTAGTACGAGACCTTTGGTGGACGTCGATAATTTTTTACTAACATATCTCCAATCAACGGCACTGTTAGAAAGGGTAAAAAGAGCTTACCAGTGGATCTACGGAGGAAAAGAAACTTGATCGAGGTTAATGTGATTGGCATTTGTGTGTAATGGATGAATACTAGAGTCGTATTTTTAGCGCATTTTTGCCCGTTGAAGACTGCTTGTAGAAACACGGGGCCGTGCAATTAACAACTTTACGGACGGAGCTACATGATGTGAGGTCGGCGATATTTCCTAGTGTATTATACTGACCTGGAGATTTTTCATAGACTTGAGGCTAGAGACTTAACATCTAATTTTCTTTTCAAGTGTATTTCATTGAATGTTTTGTTCTCAATCTCTTTCAAGGCTAGTGTTCCAACTTCAAACGCTATATTACAGTTCACCTTTTCGTCTGCTACAACTCCTGTTGACAAAGAAGAGGGTTCAGGTGTTTTAGAAAACGGATTGTGTCCCGCAAGCCAAGAAATAAAACTTTGCAAGTCATTGCAATTTCTTTTCTGCCTTGCTTCCCGTAGCTCCACGTGCTGCGCACACCTGCAAATTCTTCCATTGCTTCACACACTCGAGAACAAGCTGGCATGGAGTTGATCCAAGTTGCAATAGTTGTTGCTGTTATTCCTCTGCCTCCGATCAATTCACCAATGCTACTCAAGGACCTCATCGAAACCTGTTCAATGGTCCTGTCACTCCAGACGCCAGGCCAAAACTTTTCAGTACGTCGGATGGTGAAATAACCACAATTAACGAACAAATCGTTTTCTGGGATCATTGAGTCGAGAAGTTCCAGCGAGTTTTGTTGGTATACATGTGCAGATTTAGCGTCGTTTAAATAACCAGACGCATGGAAAATGGGGAGCATTTGATGTGTACACAGTGAATGTGAAGGAGAAAGTCTCTACTCCTCTCAGCTCTAAATAAACATTCGAACAAGCTCAACCATTTCTCTAAAGTGAATCCAAAGTTTTTGTGTTCGTCCTGATTCTTCTGAACGTTGAAGTTGTTTTTCCAAATGTTTACAAAGCTCTTCACTGCAGCTAACTGCGTAATTTCTTCCACGTTTGAAAGGCGAATAAATAAAATTAAGCTCATCTTTATCCACAGTAATAAAAGCTTTACTTGTTTTCGAAAATACTGTCATGAGTGCCTCTTCGACTAGGAAAAGGGCACGAATGGCCCTTGAGTAAGCTATCCCGTTCATCATTTGTTGAACACTGTTTTTAGCATAGACAGTACTGTACAACTCCAAGCCACTTCCCGCCATGATGAATCCAATCGCGGACAAAAAAGACATTAACAAGTGAAAACCTCCGAGTCGAATGAAGAGTGACTTTAATGGGCTGTCATGAGGTGCTGCTGCTACTATTCACGAGCTTTGGCGTACACAGGCTGATCAAAAGTCATCATTGATATACTTTGTCCATTGCTGGTCCCTTTTGTGGCAGCTTGAAGAAGAGCCGTATAAATTGTTGACGGATTTGAAGGCGCCAAATTGATGAATGGAAGAGGGACTACAGCGGAAGTTATTAATTAATTGTTTATACACACATGCTATTTTACCCAATTAAATTATAAAATCGGGTTGTAATGGTAGTCATACCTTTTGTAACATAAACTTAGGGCCATCGTGAATACGCATCAACTAAAATAAAATAATAATGACCATAAAATGGACCTGCATGGTCGACATGTACACGGTGAAATGGTTTATTAACACTTTCCCATGAATGCACTGGTACTACTGTAGAATGATGCTTGTGCAGTTAGCACAATTCTTTACTAACTTTTCAATATCGTTGTCTATACCAGGCCGCTAAACCTTTCATTTTGTAAATACCAAAATGTGCAGAGGTAACTCAAATTTGCTTTTGCAAAATTTTAGGTATTATTACTCTTTGACCTCGCAAAATACATTCTTGTTGTATGGTGAATTCTTTTTGATCAATATTGAAACGTAGTTTACTATCAATCACCTTGCCAGTTTTTAATCCCAAGAGTAATGGTTGTAAATTCTTACTCATTTTAGTAGCTTAAGCTAATTTACTAATTGTAATAGGTAGTGTTTCTGTTTGACTTATTTCAAATATGTCTGATTCTTCAAAATTGCATAATTGTTCAGAATTACTCGTAATTGGTAATCGAGACATGTAAGTTTGTACTCTTGTGTCGAATATCCCATCCTCGTCGCCAATTTATTGTATTTTGTAGGAATTAAACGCTTAAAGGGAATTGTATGACAATACTAGTTTTATTTATATCGAAGTTATTAATTAATTGTTTGTACACACATGTTATTTTACCCAATTAAATTATAAAATCGCATAAGTTTAGAATGTAATCACGACAACACAAGACAAAATGAATTTGCTGAAATCACACTCGAACGGCTATACAATATGGGAAAGAATTAAGTTCATTGGTTCACATATGAGCGTAAAAAGAGCGTTTTCTTACATATAGAGTTAGAGACGTAGTTTTAACCTGCCAAGATTATGAAAAGAATAGCCATAAGACCGTCCCAACAGTTCTCAACACTTCATTATGTATTTATTTCTTTCTCTACATGTTGGAACAATGTTTAGGTAACTTTAAAAAACGGGGCCATTAAAAATCCTCATGCTAGTTTAGGCAATTGTAGCATATATTTTTTAGGTAATTTTGCTTAATCTGGCAAAATATACATGCTTAATACTCCGTATTTGGTCCTAAACGGTCTAGTTCACTATAAATAAACCGTAAGCTTGCTATGATGTCATTGTGTTTAACAAAATTACAGACACGGTACAATGTGGAAGCAATTGTCAATTATGGAAACGCCACTTATCACATTTTAGTACAAATAACATTGGACTAATATAGGCTTTAATAGTACCAGACGTTTCATTAGCGCTACCTGTACTGGTCACGCACTGTTACACTTTCACCTCCTTAAGTAAGGCTTTCTCTTTTTCAATGAGACGCAATGTGTATTGAACTAAAAGTAAATGGAGGTACCTTGAACGTCAACCAGTGCAATAAAAAAGAAATTTTAATAACAATACCGTCCGGCTATTGCATTCGTATATTTATTTAATAACCAAAAGAACTCTAAAGTTGATTCCCTTGACTTACCTTGATTGGTAAAAGTAGTAGTGCTTTAATGTTAGTGCAGAAGTAAGAATGTAACCTTAAACGCGGATGTGGTTTTTACTTAGTTTCAGAATTTTTTTAATACAATGTGCGTGATTAAAGTGTTCTACAGTTCCTAAAACAACAGTCGGCAGGTGAGATTTTTAAACTTTTCGATTTATTGTGCACATAAATTTGCGAGCGCCATTGATCGACAGTAAAATGTGAAGGTCGCAAATTGTTAATAAGTTTTTAAAGCGAATAAAAAACCCTTTAGAGGGTAGATTTTGGTTGGTAAGGAACGGTACAAAATAAAAAAATGTATAGCAAACATTGGTTCATAATCACGTTATGTAACAAGAAATGTTGTGAAAGCACATTAACACAAAACAGGCGAATGAAATTTTAAATAATATTTTGTAGTTTGCATAAAATTTGCTTTTACAATAATATAGCCGTATAAAGAGATAGGCAATGAGCATGAAATCAACAATTATTTATATTTATTTAAATAAAAGGCAGGCTTCTGCTGACGCGCCGTTTAATTAATGAAGACAAACATTTATACACCTTTACTCATTCATAGAAAATTCTTTCGCCGTCACGGTACACTGCCCCCTTAATAAGACGTAAAGAGTCTCTAGACAATTCATTCATTACCCTTGGTGAATCTTCCGTTCATGAAGAAGTACCAATCAAGTCTTTGGAAATGAATCTCCAACGGCCCAGTTTTTTAACATATTGCAGACAATCGGTTTAATCCACATCACAGCTCCGCAACCTATAACTTCTAGGAAACATGTGTTATTTTAAATTTTATGGCGCGTGTCGTAAGATGGCGTAGCTGGGAAGAGCCTTCGCCATAGTAATCAAGCGATTGTTTCTCAAATAGCAGGGTTGCCTAACTTCGCGGTGCTACATTGTGCGAGCCAGTAATTATTATAAGGACATCAAATGGAACCTTCTGTTGTTCAGATATGATGTCTTTCGACATCATTTTCCTTAGAAAAATCGTGTTTTAATATCCGTAAAGTAAATGAGGACTAGACCAATTGCTCTCCTTCGGGTTCGGATTCTTTTTGCCCTGCACTGGATATTAAGCGGTTCCATTCCCGTGGACATCCAGAGAAATCTTGGATAGGAACCCCAAACTTGCTGAAAAGCCCCTTCACCAACACATCCGTACCACAGCAGCTTCCAAGTGGTAAGGTTGCCCATTAGTAAGACTTTATTGTCTTGCGTTGTAATTTAGACTGATTTTTTGAATAAACAAAAAATGTTGCTAAGTGCAAAAACCGTATTGAAATTTTTATGGTGGTTGATTACGGAACTTATTAGCTATAGAAAAAAATCCCCATGGTACCAGTCGGCGAGTACCACCTGATATGGGAACAAGTCCCACGTTTGCGCAAGAAATTGTGCACAAAGAAAGTCTTACAAAATCTGTCTGGTACAAACCCGCTCAACCCAAGGGGACCCAGTTAAAATGTCACGTAGAAAAGGTAAAATGGTTGGTTGGATATGTTACTCTCGAAGTAACGTTTACTAAACCTTTTGTAAACTTTCGTGTAGAGATAGGGGCCCCTGGTCGTCGACTGTAGTATTATTAACTCGTGGGTATTGATACATCCTTTTAGGGATACAGTATTACATTTCTTAGCTCATCATGTGATAAACCACTAACTCAAGAAATGCTTAACTTTGAATACTCAACGACCATTAAAACCATCTGAAATCGGTAGTACAAAAGACATTAAACCAATAGAAAATTTAGATACCGCTATTTTGAAGGTAATTCGCCATTTGTGGGTGTGAAAGATTTACTCAGTAATTAAAGAGGGGATCATTCCGAGTTGAAAAATTTAACTCGGTAATCGAGGAGAGATCGCAAGATTTTAAATAAAAGGGAATTTAGGTTTTCGGCGGAGTTAGTTGTTTAGTTCCGAATGATAGTTTTAAATCAAAAAGGCAATTCGGGAAATATAACGTTGTAATATAAAACTTTTCGTTTTTATTAACAGGAAACGTTTCATTTTAATATAAACAAAGGATTACTATTATGTGATGAAACGAGGAGGCATTTGTAAATTCTTAAGTGTATGTGCAATGCCCGTCTGTATCCGTTTAAATGGATCACATCAATGCATTAGAAACTCTAGAAAGGATTTTAGGGAATTTACACAGATTCATGATGCTCATAATTTGTCGCAAACAAATTGTTTATTAATTTAAAAAATACAATGACAAAGAAGTAATGGGAATTTTCCTTGATGAACCGACGAAAGTGGTTTTTATGAATAGCCGATGACTGATTGGTGCTGGCTTTCGAACTTGGCGGCTTTTGTAGCTTTCTAGCACGCAATACGACGCAATAAACTCTTCTCGAACCTGTTTATTTCGTGCGTGTTTTGTTTAATAATAATAATAATAATAATGTTCTCACAAGAAACACCGACAATAATAATAATAATCATCATCATCATCACATTCAGAAGGCAGTCATACTCAAAACCTGGAGCATCACCAGAACTTTCCTCAGAAATAACTAGCCAGACTTGACAATAGTCCGTTTGACTAGGATTAGAACCGGCAAGACCGAAAAAATCAAATAATAATAATAATGATATTTTTGTTTTGTTTTCTTCTTTCCTGATAGCGTTGACTATTGTGGCCATTAATAGCTATGTTGGTAAGTATGAATTACATACTATCCCTAGATTTCCAATGTGAGTGTGTGAATATTTATTTTATTTTTTTTTTTATTTTTCTTTAGAACCCTACATAACTTCACACAGACACAGACACTAATCGTTACTTGATTTTAATCCGTGCGATTAGTTAACCAGGCTAGACCTGAGTTCTCACAAGAAACACCGACCATAATAATAATGCCTTTATTGAGTATCAGCTGCAAAATGTAGAAAGGAAAATGATAGTATTACAGCTCAAAGGGCGGAGTTCAGCTTGTAATAAAAATTACTCGCTGCTCTTCAGTAAACTTTCATCCACGAGGGTCCTAGCGCACGTCTCGGCTGTCGCGGTCTGCAGTGGGAATAGCTCCCACCAACAAGTACTGTATCCTCGGTTTATAGCGCTCTATGCACTCCTTATTGTAATAGATCTTCGCATTCCAGGACACTAGTAGCGAGGACTGATCTTCTGTAGCGTTTTTTGTACCCCATTTACAGCGAGAGGAGAGTCGTACTCGTAAAAGATTTTGGGGACCTGCGATTTCGGAACGACTTGTTGAGTCTCTTCGTGTTCACTATCGGGAGAGTAACGGAACAAAATGCTACTAACCATCACATATCCGCGTTCTGAGTAATTAGCAGCGTTGGCAGGGTCATCAGTTCCCTAATTCTGCTACCATCTGCCACTGGAAGATCCATTGGCTTGGTACAAATATCGGTAGATCGTAAGACTGCAGCGATAAAGATCAACGTGCCAATCGGCTAGTTTGTCATTTTAGCGGCATCAGCTAACGCAACGGCAGGTGGTCGCTTATAGTCTTGATTTTGGCATTTTTCAAGAATCCACAATCTGACACGCGCATATCACCGCCAATGGGGGCGCAAGTTAGTAGGTTTTTCACTTCTTTAAAAGCGTTTGCTTCTCTGACTTTCAACTTTCACGGAGCGTTTTTTGTGTAAGATCGCTTAGTGTTTCGATGTTCCTCAATCGTTGCCGATTTATATATATATATATATATACAGGGTGTTACACGACCGTTCGAAAAAAAAAAATCGGGTTGTAGAGGGCATCAAAACAAGCACTTTTTCCAAATAAATCGAGGGTCCAACGTGTTTCGTTTGGGAGCCACCCCCCAAAGAGGGTTGAAATCTGCATTTCTTCTTTAATTTTTTTCTCAGCAACCATAAGAGTTACAAAGTCGGGTGGCATGTCTTTGAATAGGTTTTTGGGTATGCTCTTTCTGATTTTGCAATTTTTTTTTCAAAATTCCTACCCCTAAAGGGCGCACCCCTAAACTAGGGTGCAAAAAAAAATTCTGATTTCGACGAAATTTGGTATTTGGGGGTTTTTTAACATGAAAATCACGAATCTGAAATTAGTTTTTGAAAATTCGAAAAAAAAAGTTCCACTGCAATTCTTGGCGGGACAACGAAAATAGAGATAATTCCACGAAATTTTTTGTGTACATACTAAACGAGTTAAGGAACAAAACTGTCGAACAGTTTTTTAAAATAACTTTTCAAACAAAAGTTATACTCATTTGAATGTTGGTCCTTCGGGTCGCGAAGTGTCCCAATCCTACTAGTAAGCCATAATTTCGCATGTGTTGGTTGACAATGTCGCAAAAACAAAAGATTAACGGTTTGAGTCGATATTTTGTTATTTGGAATTAATTCGGTCATGAAATGATTAAAAAATTCGATGTATCGATTAAAACACCTACCAAGGTATCTTAAAGCGCTGATCGATTGTTTATTATCTAAATAAGGTAGGGGAAAAAGTCAAATCACTTTCCGTATGATACTTTTTCACTATGATCAAAAATTTTCATAATCTTAGGTTGAAAAATAACTTCCAAAAGAACACGCTCCTTTTAAGGACCTTTAAGATTATCTTCAACTGAATAAAACTTTTCCCCTACCTTATTTAGATAATAAACAATCGATCAGCGCTTTTATGTACCTTGGTAGGTGTTTTAATCGATACATCGAATTTTTTAATCATTTAATGACCGAATTAATTCCAAATAACAAAATATCGACTCAAACCGTTAATCTTTTGTTTTTGCGACATTGTCAACCAACACATGCGAAATTATGGCTTACTAGTAGGCTTGGGACACTTCGCGACCCGAAGGACCAACATTCAAATGAGTATAACTTTTGTTTGAAAAGTTATTTAAAAAAACTGTTCGACAGTTTTGTTCCTTAACTCGTTTAGTATGTACACAACAAATTTCGTGGAATTATCTCTATTTTCGTTGTCCCGCCAAGAATTGCAGTGGACCTTTTTTTTTCGAATTTTCAAAAACTAATTTCAGATTCGTGATTTTCATGTTAAAAAACCCCCAGATACCAAATTTCGTCGAAATCAGAAATTTTTTTTGCACCCTAGTTTAGGGGTGCGCCCTTTAGGGGTAGGAATTTTGAAAAAAAAATTGCAAAATCGGAAAGAGCATACCCAAAAACCTATTCAAAGACATGCCCCCCGACTTTGTAACTCTTATGGTTGCTGAGAAAAAAATTAAAGAAGAAATGCAGATTTCAACACTCTTTGGGGGGTGGCTCCCAAACGAAACACGTTGGACCCACGGTTTATTTGGAAAAAGTGCTTGTTTTGATGCCCTCTACAACCCGATTTTTTTTTTTCGAACGGTCGTGTAACACCCTGTATATATCCTTTAATACCGACCTCGGGCGATGTATTATAACCGGCGAAAAGTTGAATGTGAGTTCCTCAACTCAAACGGCATTCGCTTGAAATGAAAATTTCCGAAAGATGACATGAAAGCTTGAAAGATTGGTTGACCAGTCAATTCCAGGCTCAGTGGCAACAAGTAACCGGACTCCGACAGTCCAAGGCCTTTCTAACAGGGCCCCTTGGCAAATCGGGGTCTTCTAAGCTTCTGAAACTGAATAGAAGCCAGATTAGGAAGATCACCGGTGTCCTTACGGGACACTGGATGGTCAACTATCACCTGCATAACATTGGGATCGCGGAGGAGTCAACGTGCAGGTTCTGTGGCGAGGAAGATGAATTGATGAAACTACCGAGCATGTGGTCTGTCACTGTGACGCTTTGATCAGAGACAGATATCAACTCCTTGGAGACAGATACATGGAACCGAGGAGGCTGAAGCAACTTAGGCTAAACAGGGTCCTATCCTTCATTGAGAGGAACGGGCTCTGAACTCAGTTGCGAAGAAAGGGGGTAGGCACAATGGGTCTCTGGTGTGCCTAAGTGCTGCCCGGTCGGGCTCCCCTGCGAATAGAATAGAAAGTATTAGAATATATATATTTTAAAACATTTAATGGAGTTTTATCTTTATTTATAGAAAATATTGGCAGTAATTCTAATTCATTGAATAGCTTCCCCATCTATATCAGATCTATTGGCACCTGTTAATTTTTCTTGTAGATTAAGACATTTTATTTTTTTTCTTGTGTTTCCAATTTACTCCAATTCTCGAGATTACTCAAAATGTATTAATTTGTAGTATCACGATTTATGGCGCTCGGTGCCCCTTAAGGCCCTGCGCCCGGGTGCCCTGCACCCCTTGAGGGCACCCCCGGTAAAGACGGCCCTGTTCGTCGAGGAACTTGTGGTACTACTGGTCACAATTATGGCAATATTCGTATTTTCAACTATCTACATTGGAGATGCGCCCTTTCGTGGTAGGAAAATTTTAGCAAAATCGAGAAGAGCATACCCGAAAACCTATTCAAAGACGTGTCACCAGTGGTTCTTATGGTTGCTGAGAAAAAAATTAAAAAAAGTTTATTGAGGGGGGCTCCCAAAAGCAACACGTTAGACCCTTGGTTTATTTGGAAAGAGTACTCGTTTTGATCTCCTCTACCAACTCAACTTTTTTTAAAATACTTATATGTAACAGCCTGCATACGGGAATTGTATGTATGTATTCTCTGAAAAGAAAACGCAAAAAGCGCACAATTGAAAATACGACTCGAATCCAGAATATAAAAACCGGAATGGTAAATGAATTTGTTCCTTTCACACTACAGTAATCATGGTGCCTAAGGAAAACCTTTTAAACATTCAAAATAAATGTTCAAAATAGACTTCAGAAAAATGGCCATGTAGGAAATCCATTATAACACGCAATATTGCGAATGCATAATGGTGTCATTTGAGAATCGTGATATTGCATGTTGTCGATGTGAGTTTAAAATAATAGAACCCGAACAGCTGGTGCTCAAGTCTATGACACTACTAGGGAGAGTTTCAGTTATTTGCTACACTCTCCAACAAAAGCTCTCTCCTTCGGTGGCCAGCTTCGGCGGAATTTTCAGTCTCCATGACTGCTCGCACATCAATCAATACGCATATAACTTCATATGTACACTTTTAGAATAGGAACGCCATTTACAAGTCAAAATCTCCAAAGAAAAAGAGAAGCACTTTCAGTTTTCTAGCAGTTACAACAGTGGTGCGAATAAACCCAGACTTATCGCATCTATAACAGGGCACATTTGGTGATGATGTTTTAAATCTAAAGTGCGTTAAACACTTAACTAAATTCGTAAGCGGTAACATTTACATTCGAATGCTACGCTTTCGACACCTATCTTTCGAATGACCAAATTTACGACAATATTAACAACAAACCCGTTTACCAAATTATTTTTCCTTATCCCGATTCTTACTCGATCACTACGTTCAAAAGTTTCTTCAATCAACTGAGCAAGCCTTCCAAGTTCATTCAGATTATTTACTTTATCACGTGGTAACTTTTCACGTTTTTTCTGTGGAACAGACCATCGAGCTTTACTTCTTCACTCAAACTTCCAGCTGATAACTGGGCTAAAATTGAACGAGTTTTGCAGGTAAAATATCGGCGGGAGTACTTTCTGTGATTGGAATCTGGAAACATTTTAAACAAGCATAATAGTTTTTCACACTTACTATGATGTTTCTCTTGATACTAAAACTATAAACAAATACACAGCTTGATTCATAAGTGAACAATAGAGAATGATCTGGTTTCAGATTTGTGCGTCAGTATGGATTGGATTGGGTGTGGCTATACTATTGTATACAGGTAATCTAATTTCTCTGGGAAAAATTTCGACATGTAGTTCCGATGGCTAAAAAATAAATTGGCAGTTCACTGCGTTTCTCATAACTTGGAAACCCTGGTACTCATTAACTAAAGTGTACCTTATAAATTGTTATTACCGAATGTAGGTAATCAAAATATCGTAAAACGTAAAATCTCACCTAGAAGTTGTTCCAGCACATTTTGTTTACAAATGTTTATTGTGGTAGCTTTCTCCACTTAAAAAGTACACACATTTATAACGCAATATAAAAATAAATGAGTGTGGTCTATCATTATACTAAAAAAAACGTGCGCCATTAAAATCCCCCGTTCTAAAATCTTGGACAAGTTTAGTTGAAAGTTGTCTCGAAATGTGTCTAGTTTTATTTATATTAAACCATTGTATTTTATCTTTTTCAGATCAGTCCAGCATGGCCACGAAAACAAACATTATATTTCATTTAGTTTTCATGCAAATCCTGGTATGGTATACAAAATCCGAGTACATCCCAGCTAGACCACGATACGAATGCCCTAAAAATTTATTATACTTACACCCATGTAATTGCGATGAAGAATCGGATATTGGAATTACGGTTTCGTGTAAAAACACGAACCTAGCAAAAATGAGCATCGCGCTCAATAATCTGGCCGAATTTCGAATACCTGTGGAAAAATTAACGATATACAAATGCAATATAGGTACTGATTTACTGAATAACTGTACATACCTATATTAATAACGCTGTCTATTTTTAGCTCGCCTGTTTGGAAGTTTACTTTATAAGGTGCAACTGCGACTTCTGCACATCGAAGATACTCCTATCCAAAGCATAGACGAACACACCTTCTTAGGTGTAAATAAAAGCTTAAATGAATTACACATAACGAATTCCGCCCTCAAGGAATTTCCAAAATTAGCTTTTAAGGTACTTAAATCGCTTACTCATGTAATAAAAAAGAAAATTAATTTTTATCGCCTCAGAATTTAGGCAATCTAACAGTGCTAAGGATCCACGGACATAATATTAATTCACTTCCAACAGACGCTTTTACCGAATCCCATTTAGCGGGAAAATTATTACGGCTGCATATATCAAACGGAAGTTTAGAAGCGCCATCAAGTGAAGCCTTTCAGGTTCTTCGAAAATTAAAAACTTTAGATTTGCATGGGAATCAGCTTAAGGATCTTAAACGAAATCAGTTTAAGGGTTTAAGGGAATTAGAAGTGCTCGATTTGAGTTATAACGGCATAAATAAATTGGACGGCTCGCACATTCAGGACTTAGTGAAATTGGGATGGTGCAACGTATCGCATAACAGCATCGGGGAGATACAAAGGTACGAAAATAAAAGTAAGATTTCCGGCGTGTTGTAACACGTTTTCCAGGGGAACGTTTGCGAGAAATTCCGTTTTGAAGGTGCTAAACATGTCGTCTAATAAAATTAAGAAACTGGATTCGAACTCGTTTAGGGGCATGAGGTTTTTGAGGAGATTGTATTTGTCTGACAATATGATTTCGGACGTTGGACGTGGAACCTTTAGTGGAATCAGCAAGATTGGAACGATCGATTTGGCGAGGAATTTTATTAAGAAAATCGACTACCAAATGTTTTATCAGCTAAATTTTATGGAGGTAAGTTTATATGCATTCCGTTTTCTGAGATTGCATGATGAACATACGAGCGTGAATAGAAAATGGATGATGAAGTTCTTGTAACACGGTTACTTTGTGCAACATTTTCCTCGTTATTTGTTGACATGTTCCGAATAGCAAACAAGTTTGTTGGAATAGCTGTCGCAGTGGCTTTTGCGGACTTTGTCCAAGACGAGCACGCACATATTCTACTACCGCCTCGTTTGGCAACTGTTGGCGACCAGGGGATTTTCCCCAAGCAACACTTCCTGTATCGTCAAACTACACGAAGAGTGTGGAGGGGTAAGTTCTCGTAATCAACATGTTGAAATTCCTCCATGCACAGGCGAGTTGAATACGTACAAGTTTGAGTATTGCAGACTTTTCACTTTCCACAGTACGGCATGATCTACATATTTCAATAAATTCAGTGATAAAGTCAGTAGACAACATTTGTGCTTTTTTGTTGTGGCTATCCTGCGATGGATATCTCCGAATGTAATTAAGCATTATTTTCACAATGGGCAGTTTCCAGCACCCCAGTAATAACGCCCCTGTGAACAGCTCCCGGTACAGTCTATTGAAAAGATATCTAAAGAAAGTACCCCCCCTCTCCACCCCCCTAAACTCTCGTTGCCGTAGCCGTCTACATCAGAATTTTTAATTACATCTATTCATAGACCGCTTTGTTATGACTTACAGCAAGCTATTTGAAAAAGATGTCCATTGATCCAAACCGAAATTTCAACGGAGGGGGTGAGAAACTCTAAACTACATTTTTTTGTTTTTAGCGTTTTACAGGAAAACTACGACATTTAGCAAAAAAACGGGGAGGTTACCTTGTTTGTAGAGCAGACAATTCCCTATCAATTGAGGGTACTAACTTTTGATCTATCCCTACTCTAACAGCTGAGGTAAACATAACCTTAAAGTCGGTTACTGAGCTTAAATTTGATAACCAATCAAATGAAATACTTATATTTACAAAACACTAACAAATTAACTAAAAGTAATAATAATATATTTGATCTTTTGGCCTTTTAATGGATAAGTTACAGTGGATAACAACAAACAAACAATAAGAATTAATGACAAACAATAATAAAATTATCACAGTATATATTTTTTTAGTTGACACAATTTCTTGATCACGCCCGATTTTCTAAATACTAAAAAAGATCACAAGACAATTTAGTTAGAAGTATTCACTAATGTCATAACAATTTTTAGAAATTTCCCTTCAAAATAAGAGATTGGTATAGCGGTTTTTGTTTCAAGTGGAAGTTTGTTTACTATTTTTACTCCAAGGATGTAGACATTGCCTTTGTTTATGTTTATTCCGAAAGGTCTATATTGTTCACATATTCTAGATGATGGCGAATGTTACTATTTTTGACTAGATTAGAATGGTTAGAATGGCGATAGAATAAAAGTTAATACACCTAATCGATAGAAAATTTTATGCTCTACAAAAAAGGTAACCGCGCCTCTTTTTGATAAAGGATGTAGTTTTCATGTAAAGTGCCAAAAACTCTAAAATGCGCATTTAGGGGTAGTTCGCCCTCGCCTGCCAGAGGGTGGCCTTCTAAAAATGTTTGTTTTGGTCCAATACGCAATTGTGCAAAGTGGCTCGAAGATATGCCAGAAAAACCGAATTTTCCCACTTTAGTTTTTATTTTTGTCTGATGTTATTTGAACAGATACAAAAAAAATGAAAAACGCTTTCTCATTGCCACTTTTTTGGCTCTATAAGACACCGTTGAGAGATTTTCAATACAACGTTTCGTTTCGGAGTAATCATCATCAACTTTAGTTTTATATATGGCCTGCACAAACATTACATACTGTATTCAGTAGCATTTTTTATTACGAATACAACGATGTATTTCGGCAAATTTCGGTTATTCCGGCATAACTGCAGAAGTAATCGGAATTTTCTGGTTTTTGTTGATATTATGATAATCGTTCTTTAATTGCGCACCTTTTACCTAATTTAACACAGTGTATATTAGATTTTGGAAGAAAAGTTTATATCAAGAAGCGGTACTATGTTTTTGGCAATTATTTTTTTATTACTGATACTTCACGCCTAATCCCCCTTCTGACCGCATCCTTTGCCCCGTAAGAGAGGGCCTAAAAGATCCAGCTGTCCTAAACATAACCTAACCGTAGAGAACAAAAACACCAAGAGTACACGGTTTCCAAAACACAAGCATCACCGTGGAAGAGCGCTATAGTTATTATAATTCCCAAGCCTGGGAAGGAGGTTTCGTATCCCAGGAGTACCGCCAGATATCGCTGCCCCCAGTCTTCACCAAGGCTTTTTGAGACTCCTACACGATATGTTCGCCTCAACGTTCTCTATTAGAGACGAGTTGGACAATGGACACTCGACGAAGCTACAACTAATAAGAGTGAGAGATTTCGAGTGGCATTCTGCCGTGGTGTGACCGCTGGTGCGTATGAACGCCGACAAAACCGAAGCCATCGCTTGTGCACAGAAAATAACGACCAGATGGAACCTAATCACCGTAGCTGTTACCCAAGTACCATTGACATACACTATCGAATACCTTGACGTGACACTATAGATAGACGCCTTAAGGCCCGAAGAGCTACTGCTCGGTGTTAAAAGGACCTTCCCATCAAGACAACGATGGCTGTCCCGCACGGATGATATACATAACCAAATCGAAAATGAAAGATACGGAAACATCCACAACAAAGTTCTCAAACGATTATGCACTATGGTTCGATGATGAAAGAAGAACCCATCGTCTCCCATTTTGTAAAAGATCTATATGAAAATCATTCTCCCCTTCCGTACATCTGAACCATCGCCCTCAAGAAGAGGAAGATGAAAAGAAAGAGGCAGAGGCTGAGGAAGAAAGAGGAAGATCCTCTTTCTATTGTTCTTCTTCCTCTCTTCTTTGTAAATGTAGAAGCATCCAATTGTCAAGTATGTTATCGCTTCGTAAATGGCTAAACGTTCTATTGTCACGTCTGTCGCCGACGTCTGTAAAGTTCAAACACTCAACAGTTATACATTCTCGTGCAGTAAAGAAAATGCACAATCAGGGCCGGACTGGGTGGGTAAGGGCCCCGGACGCTCCATGACCAAAAGGCCCCCACATGGCGGAGCCTCAGGTTAGCGCTTAGCGGGGCCCCGCGACGGAGGCTCCGCTACGCGGTTCCACGAGGGCCCCGTCCAGGGTGCGGCCTAGCGGCCTGAGCCAGTCCGGCCCTGTGCACAATCAGTGCTAATTTACACCACAGCGGTAGATCGTTCTGGGGATATGATCTTCTTAACTGATAAGATAAGATGGGAGGGTACAAATAACTATACTACAATAATAAATTTATTCAAACACCAAATGGCAAACAGAAAAATTGCATCCACAAGTGATAGCGTATCACACAAAATACTCCCCCAAATACTCAAAATTATAACTTTCGTTATTCACAAATGTTACTAACGTCACTATACAATTGAAATTCCCCACTTTAACAAACCCTTAATCAAGAATGATCGATTAAATTGATTACTGAATCTTAAAGCAATTTTCCACAAATTAATAAAATATTTTGGGCAAAAATTCGCACGTATGGGGTTAAGTAAAAAAAGTAAAACATATAAGGCAACTCTTACCTTGGAATAAAGTTAGATGTTGAGGCCAAGAAGTGAGCTCAGTTCTCGCATCCAAAACCTATAAGCAATCAAAAGAAAACCTCCCCAAGCCGCAGGGCTCAGTATAATATAATATAATTCGTTGATTAATGCCTGAAGGGTGTCGCTCTATTCGTAATCTGTTTCTATAACAGGTACGGTACTTAAATGGTCGGTCGCTTCAGAAGGAAGTGGTAGTCCCCAACAACATTCGCGTTTCAAACTCAATCATTACTAAGTCGAGATGGCAAAGATTCTGAACAGAACTGATGTTAACAAATTGCTTGAACGCGATTGCATATAACCCAGAAGGGAATGAATAGTTATCCACTATAAGTTACAAAAGTTGTTCCTTTGTTGAGGATCGAATCTTGATATTAAATCTCCTTCATGACCCGTTGATCAATTTCACAACACTCATTATCAGCACGTGGAAATATATGTCAAAAGGTATCGTCACTCGCAGGTATAGTTGAATTGAACCCAACGTTACGTACGTCGAACTAGTTTCGTATGTAATTAACGTATCCAGAATTTCCACTGGTACTTAAAATTTAAATTTACACCGGAACTAAAAAATGGAATAAAAAGTAAATAGAAATCAAAGGTAACCCTCCTTCGTTTATGTCATAAAATCTACATACCTCTTAAATAAGAGGGATATTTATAGATGAAGCAACAAATATCGATGGAAAAATTGTAGTACACAAATATCCCCCGAACCTAATGAAAGGTACACATCAATTACGCGAAAAGCAAATAGCGGCACTTACGATAACAAGGAAGAACGCAATTAAAATCCTCACTATAGGAGTTGTATAGGTGAAATCCGTCCAACAATAATTCCGGAATCCCCAAATTATGAATCCAATCGCTAGAGTTCAATATACGAGTATATGTGGATGATGGCAATTAAAATTCCATGCGTTCTAACTTACGCTCCAGTTGTTTGATTAAACGAAGTGTACTTTGTTACGGCTCACGAAAGGATGGAGGAAAATAAAAAGTGACACGCACTGTACGGTAAAACTGGGTTGTTACATTCCAATAATTATGTAATCATCTATTAAATTGCTTCCAAAAGTTACGGGGATCATTCAACAAATAATAAGCCATGAACACTAATAATGCTTTGTAATGAAGAAAATAAATAGAGTGTAACTCCAAAGGCAGGTCTGAAATAACACCACCTATGTTTAATTCTCCCAATTTTTGTTATATTGGGGACTGCGCGTTCCATGGAATCAGGACAAAAGCTAGCCCATTGCGCTAAAGCATCTTCGTAAGATGTAATCTCTTCAAGTTTAGTGTAGAAAATTTCTTCCACTAAAGTATTTAAATTAAATTACTTTTACGTTTCATTAATGGCAAACTGCAGTAAATTACCAAACTTAATTATTTATATACACATAAAAAGAAAAATATGTTTTTTGTCAACACTCATTTTATCTCAAGCTTTTTTATGTATATACCTAACTTAAAATTTTTCTTTTCCAGATAATTGATGTATCCGAAAATAAAGTAACGGCAATAGAAAAACTGGCGTTTAAAGATCTGTACTTAACAAACATCAATATTTCACGAAATGCCATAACAAAGATTGAGAGAGGTGCTTTTGAAAACTGCGCCAACATAACCGTGCTGGATTTATCACACAACTCCATTGCTAATTTGTCCAAGGAAACTTTTGATGCCACAACTTACGCCACGGAAATGATATTGTCTTATAATTTACTGACGGACCTAAGTTCGGTAAGTGCAAGTAATTTTGTATTTATTCGGAGTACAATTTATTTTAGGTGCCGTTACATAACATGACGGGACTGAAGATATTAAATGTTTCGCACAATTCAATCACGAAGATACCAAAGAATACGTTCCCGAAATTATACGAACTGCATACAATAGATCTATCCCACAATAACCTGACCGACATTTTTAACGCAGTTTTTCAAACGTTATTTTCATTACGCAATCTAAATCTGAGCCATAACAGTTTGGAGAGCATAAAACCGGGAGTTTTCGGAACGCTGCCAACGCTACTCGAATTAGACTTGAGCTACAACATACTGAAAGACGTAGCTAGGAGCAGCTTAACTCGACTGTCTAGCATGCGAACTTTAACGCTGAAGGGAAATCATCTGGAAACTTTATTTCAGCTACCGATTTCTGTTGGTTACTTGGATTTATCCCATAATTACATTACAAGTATTCCACCAAAATTCTGGCCCGCTATGAATTCGTTATTAAGTTTAGATTTAAGTAACAATATGCTCGAGGACAACTTAGTTCAGGGAAGTTTTCAAAATTTACTGACGCTACAAAAACTTAATTTAAATGATAATGGAATCACTAAACCTCCTTGGGCCGCCTTGAGTGATCTCAGTTCGCTGCAGTACGTATATTTGGAGGTAAGAGTTAATCTACTTATACTTCGTAAAAATTCTAGACGCGCCCCGATCACGATTAGTCAAATTTAAACTAAACAAATAAGCTAGGGATATTGCAATTTATGCAGAGCTTGATGGTATTGTCTCATGCAAGGGTGCACAACAAATTCATTCATTTCTCTAAATTTATATGGCGTGTCATTGAAAGGGTGAGTAATAGTCCCATAATGTAGAGTTGAGCTAATTTATTAGTTTGAAGACGACATTGCAAATTGCAATAGTATGATATAGCACAACATCTGGACGTATAATTAAATTCGTGTTTAAAGGGAGAGCCTTTGTATTATCTTCTGGTCTTGTCATTTCCATCGTGAAATTTAGAGTTAGAAATTTTATAAAGGTACGTAAGTGAATAAATAATATCAGATTTTGCTTATGCTACACAAAATGCTAAAGTACAGATTTTGTAAAAAATTGTACCTGCATTGCTGCGTTTACTTATACGGGTCGCTTACACCCAAGTAAATGTTTTTGTTTTGACGACGTCATCAATAGATATGTCTCGGCCTGACGTTCCACTTGCCTTTTATGAGTACCCTCTTCCGACACTTCGTTGTGAAGGTATTTGCTTCGACTGCACCAATAGATATAGTTGGTAGAAAACGGTTCCTTTCGTTGAGACCTTTAATTATAAAACCATGAAAAGTGAAATTTCGTTCATTCCAGAACACGTGCGCTAATTAAATCTCGTCCGATAACAAAACTTCTTATAGCAAACGACCAGACGTGTCTACATTTTAACACGCAATTTCCATGTTTTACAGTACAGTGGCGGTCTAGGTGACCTTGTACCTCAACCACCCCTTCTATTTTCCAGGTTACAGGTCTCGCTGATACAAATCTTAAGTCGCAAAGGACAAACGACCCTTAACAGAAATCCCTACGCATGAAGTAACCTGGTTGACACGCACACTAACTTCTTGTTTACTTATCTACACTCTTGATTTTAATTAACTTCTCGGAATCCCCCCTCCACGAAGTACAGGTAAAAAACGAATACCCCCCGCCTCTTCCTAATCAAGTATTACGATTTGCACCATAGGACGTGCTTACTGAACAGTAAATTTTCTATAATGAAATAATTAATACCACGGCTAGCTCAGTTATAAGTAATGACTCTTAGCTTGCGCAAAGTTGGTTCTTCATTTGCCCTTATAATCTGAAAATCAATTGACAAAAATCACCAAAATATTTTGTTTAGGTTCGCTTATCATTCCTTGGGTGGACCTCTTCAGGAATATTAAATTGACTTTGGTCAAAACATTGCTTTCCAAAATCCCCAAAATGATCGATAGGACTCACTGGAATAATTTACCAATGTTTGGCAGTATGAAGATGTAAATTTTCCCTTTCTGTACTTGGGATTTTAACAGCTAACAAAAGTACTAATTAATCGTCTTTAAACTTTTTACCAGTTGCCGTTTAAATTAGAATCTTATTACTGCTCCGTATAAATAGGCGCACAAATTTGGTTAATAATCTTGTTTTTTATTGTAACTAACCACTTCAAATATAAACGCAAGGAAATCTTCTGTACTTTGAACCACAACGTTAACATTTATTTGAGTGCGATCATGCGAATCTAATAATGCAATACCACGAAAATGTTCGCTCACGTATCAAAATTCCTATTCTTATTATATTAACAGTTCAAAATAATTCAGCCAACCTGTCGATTCCTCTACACAACGAAGTTCCCTTTATATAGTTTCACCACTTTATATTAGTTTTATTCGTAATGGCAGCTCGCATTGAATTTAATTGCACACACTACAATCATTTTTCCTAATATACCCGCTAATTCAAAAACCCGAAACGGACCCAACGAAAACCAAGCTTCGGCTACTTTTTCTATACTTGCAAAGGTATAGCAGAAAAGCCGTCCTTCATGCTTCTTAAGAACGGTCTTTAGAACCGGCAACACTGTGGTTCTATTGCATTTTGGTTCTGTTCCCGTTCATTATGAAGCGGTACACGTATAACATTTCCTATACTGGTAAAATTGTAAATTCAAGACCAAAGTCTAAAGGGATCACCGTTACATTACTCAACTGTCGCACGCTATCGTATCTTACTAACGGATGTTACCTTACGGCGCTCTTCCCATATTTTGAAGACACTAACGTCGGGATCGACAGTGCTCCGTTAGTGCCTGTCTGATCGCGAGCGGCTTTTTCCTTGGGAGCGCAAATAACGGGCGATCAAAAAAGGATTGACGTCGAGTAGCTTGTGGAAGTTCAATTTAAACATGATTTCACATGTAAACAAAAATTCTAGAGGTGCCTCAACAGCAACTAATAATAATAATAATAATATGCTTTATTTTTTTGCAGCAAGCTGGTAAAAAAATAACAAATTCAAAGTTATAGAGAGAATCACGCAAAAAAAAGGATTAGAAAACAGTTAAAACTTATCTAAGTTCTAATCCTGAAGAACTGAGTAATAGTATCATGTGTGAATAATACTTTGCGTATACGTAAGAACTAAGAAGTGAAAATATGAAGCGAAAATTTAAAAAAATAAAAAAAAAGAATTGAAGTTACGAAAAGAGTTTAGATACATAGCACTTAGCAGCACATGATTTACGTTTGAGCACTAAATAAAAGCTGCTTGTAAAGATATTTAAATGTAGGTAACTCTTTGTTGATCGCATAGGATATGTATATTCCATACAATATCTACTTGCCTCTCTTTGACAGAAGACGGTTTAAGAAAAATTGTTTTTTTTTAATTCATATGATTAACTTTGGACATGATTATTTTACACACGATTTTATAAGTTTTTCACAAAACACCGTACGTTTTACAACAGCAATTCCCTAAGCGGGAACAGTAACTAATCGGATTTGGTAGCGGTATCTACGGGAAAGCTAATGCAGGAATAATTATATACATATGTATAATTAATCAAACGGAAAGTAACAAAAAGATTACTTTACCAATTAAACGGAGCAATAGAAATTGCTGCGCAAGAAAAAGCAAAAGCTATAGATACGGTTATTCGTCGCGATTAGACTTAATGTCGAAGCAAAAATTAAGCGGTATGAATGCAAAATAAATTTACGGAAAAGCTCAAAATTACGGTATTTACAAAACGTAGCTTGAGAAAATGCAAAAGGCAGAAAGCAAAAGGATCTACTCTAAATAACTGCTTTACCTTCTATAAAATTCGGCTATGCCCTGGAGGGAACGACGGTTTTCCAACCGGGACAGCGTATTCAAAGCTACATCCAAAAATTAAAACTTATTTTATTAATTGTGCGGCCTGCTGCGGTCCTAAAAATCTGTAATTGGTCCGAAAATTCAAATTAATTAATAGCGCTTCTTTTGATAGCCCACACGATTATGTACAATGACGTTTATTGCAATACATTTATTTATCGGTAGTCCAACTAGGTCATAAAGGTTGCTTATCAATCAAATAATGGCGTTTCAAATTCATATAGGAAACAAAACCCTGCTAATAATGGCTTAACGTGGCTTAAATTCTAACATATTAATTTGCCCTCGTCTTCTAAATGACAAGAGCTTTTGGACGCAACAAAGACAATTGAAATCTTGACGGGAATGGTTACAAACGGCGAATTATTTGTAGCGTTATTTACGGTGGCGGCGACAGAAACACAACTCTATAAATTAAAACAATTACCTTTAGCTTATGTCTTCAACTCCTAGAACCAACACAAATACTTTCGGCACCACACTTTTCGTAACGAAGCGTCCAACTTAAAACGTTTCTAGATACCGAGTGTTCAGCAGAGCTGGTCGACTCCACAAATATACGGTGTGATCATAACCTTTGGGAATGAAACTTGTAAGGCGAAAAATAGGTGCTCCGTTACATGAAATCGCTACTCAAATTTTGAATAAAATCGGAAATAAAATTCGGATAAAAAAAATTAGAATACTTTGACACAGAAAAATAAAACTCTACCTGGATTTTAAATGGGATTCAAATTGACACATAATCAAAAAAACCAAGAATTTATTCTAACACACATCTAAAAACGGTCGATCTAAAAACAAATTAAGCGCGATCTCAAAAATTACAGTTCTGTTAATAATAATCCAATAAACTCGCCAGGACAAGAAATATGGGATATTCGGAGAAACACTTCAACGAGAATCTGAACGATTTTTCTTACAAACAAAAACAACTCGCTTTTAAAACACCACGACTGACTCGAAGATAATAACATTTAGCTTTGTGACTGCTCGGATAGTAAGACTTTTCTTGTATTACACCAATTATTTCTTCATTCTTGATAACCACAAACTTTTTAAACTCGAAACAACATTAAACTTGTTTCTGCATTCTTTAACTATTATGATTTCTATTTTTAAAATTGTACAGCCCGCTGGACTACGGGTACTAAAAATTTGCGCTATCTTTTAAAATAGACAGCCACGTCTACTATTAATTCTTGTTATTTAAGCAAAAACCACCTCCTTTCAACATCCTTATTCCCGACGATACTCGAAATTCCATATACGCCACCACAACTGATAACCACCTGCATCGCTTATCTCGCACGTAACATTGTTTATTGAAAAACCAATTAATTCTTGTCCAATAACAACTGTTTATCAACATCTGACCAGACAAAACTTTGAACTCACGTAAACATTTCCATTAAACGTTCCCTAAATTTGCCGCTGTAAACTTGATACAAACAAAATACAACAAATAGAATTAAATGAATTCAAAAATTAGCGACAAACTGTACAATAAGAAACAAAATTTTACCAGTCTGGGTACATTTGAAATAAATAAAAATTCCCAGGTCTTATGAAACAACTTCAATTATGTTACATACAGGATGTCCCAACTATAATTTTGGAAACAAGTTGATATATGACTCATGCACCGTTACATTTGACCATCCATACTGTGTTTTTATTCGAAAATGCTATTGATTTAGTGTTTCGTATAACAGCTTTCAATCATTCACATGTTTGGGTCAGCAGTAGTGTCAAGGGAAATTGAAAAACTGAAGCAAAGCACCTTAATACGAACTAAAATTTCAGCACAACCACATCGAAGAGCTTCCACGTTCAGCATTCGGCAAGCTTCCAGTAGTTTTCGAATTGCACCTCGCCCACAATTTATTGTCAAACATCAGCGTTAGGGCGTTTGACGGACTTCTCCAGCTGATCAACTTGAATATGTCAAACAACAAGATCGCACACATTCCAAACGGCGCACTGCAAGGTAAATCCAATGCGATTAACTTAACACTAATTGCGACTTTTAGGACTCGTATCATTGCGAACCTTAGACCTTTCCGGCAACGAGCTAGAAAAGCTCGATAATAAAACGCACGGCTTGTTGGATGACTGCTTCTCTATTGAAAGGGTAGGAGCTTGAAACAAGGGACTAAATGATGTTTTTATTCTTTCCAGGTGAATCTCAGTAATAATAAAATAACCTTTATATCCCGAAAGATGTTTCCAAGTAATCCGTACATACCTTACAACTTGAAAAACATAGATCTCTCCTACAATAACGTGCCACTCGTGACTTACGATTTTGTCTTTGGAACTTCGAAAGTGGAAACGTTAAACCTAACGCATAATTCAATCGCGGATATTAGGCGATGTAAGGGGATTTTTTCGTATTTTATTGTGTGACGTTTGTGGTAGATGTTCTAGGTAACCTCACAAGTTTAAGGACGTTGGATTTGTCCTTTAATCTCTTGGAGGATATTACGAGCGATCCCGATGTGTTCATACTTCCCAAAAGTATATCGGAAATAAATCTGTCGCACAACATGCTGAACGAGCTACCCTGGAGGGAAGTAATAAAAGTTGAAAATCTCACGACTTTGGATCTACAGCACAACAATTTCACGGTGTTTACCAAAGAAATGAATACTTTGGTCAACAACAAAACCAGAATTCTTCTTAAGGGTGAGGATTTGTTCAGTTTTCGATTTAAATTCACCTTTGGAATTTCAGGAAATGCTCTTACTTGCGATTGTTTTGCCCGACCAATGCGAAGATATTTCGATACGCTGCTCGAGGTTCCACAGTTTTACAAGGACGTTATTTGTAGTGAACCCGAGTATATAAATGGAAAGCCGCTGTTTGAAGTGTGGGACGATGGCTTGTTTTGTCCGAAGGATGTTAATCTGACGAAAAGTGAACAAAACGAGTATGAAGTTGCTGCAGATGTTAAAATACGCGATTTAAAGATGTGAGTAAAGATCGATATTGGTACAAGTATAATGGAAAATAGTTCATCAACGCTTGGTTTACTCGTCGACCCTATCCTTTTGCCTCTCAAGCCTTTAAACTCTTTCTTTGGCTTCACCACAAATACCTATCACTCAGGCAATAATACTAGACTTCTCTACCTTGGTATATAATATACTATTAGGTAGATATGATATATAGATAATGGTTAACGCGTTTATTGATCAAAGACAAATAAAGTACATGTGACTTCTTAGACGAAGGCGCAAATAGCAACAGGTACGCGTTGGTTGCCTAACGACGAAGGCTATGATTTGAAGTGACAAGAACCTCGAAAGCTTTCACGGCGATGTACAAATTTAAATCGGCGAAATGACATGGTGCTTTTTAACAACCATGTCCATTGTTGAAGGTTGTACGACGACATCTTGTATTCGATTGCTGTTCGATTTTCGCGCATATTCCATTCATGCTAAAGAGATTTTCAAAAGATTGTGAAGACATTTTAAGAGAAGATTTTGAAGAGATACTGAAGAGATTTTGAAGAGACTGCCGAGATTCTGAAGTTTGAAGATGTTGAAGACATTTTGAAGAGACTTTGAAGAAAATCTACAGAGATTCTGAAGAGATTCATAGAAGATTCTGAAGAGATTTTGAAGTGATTCTGAAGCGATTATAAAAAGATTGTGAAAAGACTTTACAGAGATTTTGACAAGATTCTGATGATAAAAAGTCTGAAGAAACTCTGCAGAGAGTCTGAAAAGATTCTGAAGAGATTATAAAAAGATGAAGAGTTTGAAATGATTTTGAATAGATCCTGAAAAGATTATGAAACGAGTCTGAGGAGACTACAGAGATTTTGAAGAGTTTGAAGAAACTTTGAAGAGATTTTAATCTAAACAAATTTTGAAGAGATTCTAAAGAGATTTTGAAGACATTCGGAAATGATTATAAAAAGGATTCTCAAAGGACTCTAACAGAGATTTTGAAGGATTCTGAAGATTTTGAAGAGACTGCAGAGATTCTGAAGAGTTTGAAGATGTTGAAGACATTTTGAACAGACTTTGAAGAAAATCTACAGAAATTCATAGAAGATTCTGAAGAGATTTTGAAGCGATTATAAAAAGATTCTGAAAAGACTCTACATAGATTTTGAAAAGATTCTGATTATAAAGTCTGAAAAAACTCTGCAGAGTCTGAAAAGATTCTGAAGAGATTATAAAAAGATTCTGAAGACCGTTTAGAGATTCTGAAGAGTTTGAAGAGATTCTGAAGAGGTTGTGAATAGATCTTGAAGAGATTATGAAACAATTCTGAGGAGACTACGGAGATTTTGAAGAGATGCTAAAGAAATTTTGAAGAGATTCTAAAGAGATCTTGAAGACATTCGGAAAAGATTATAAAAAGACTCTAATGAAATTCTGCCGAGATTTTGCAAAGACTCTGAAGAAAATCTAGAGAGATTCATAGAACATTCTCAAGAGATTCTGAAGGGTTTGAAGAGATTTTGAAAAAACACTGAAGAGATTTTAAAGAGATTCTGAAGAGATGCTAAAGAGATTTTGAAGAGATTCTGTAGAAATTCTAAAGAGATTCTGAACAGATTCTGAAAAGATTTTGAAGAGATTCTGAAAAGATTCTGAAGCGATTATAAAAGGATTCTGAAAGGACTCTTACAGAGATTTTGAAGAGATTCTGACGAGTTTATAAAAAGATTCTGAAGAGATTTTGAAGAGACTGCAGAGATTCTGAAAAGTTTGAAGATGTTGAAGACATTTTGAAGAGACTTTGAAGAAAATCTACAGAGATTCTGAAGAGATTCATAGAAGATTCTGAAGAGATTTTGAAGAGATTCTGAAGCGATTATAAAAAGATTCTGAAAAGACTACAGAGATTTTGAAAAGATTCTGATTATAAAAAGTCTAAAGAAACCCTGCAGAGAGTCTGAAAAGATTCTGAAGAGATTATAAAAAGATTCTGAAGACTCTTCAGAGATTCTGAAGAGTTTAAAGAGATTTTGAAGATATTGAAGAGATTCTGAAGAGATTTTGAATAGATCCTGAAGAGATTATGAAACGATTCTGAGGAGACTACAGAGATTTTGAAGAGTTTGAAGAAACTTTGAAGAGATTCATAGAAGATTCTGAAGAGTTTCTGAAGCGATTATTAAAAGATTCTGAAAAGACTCTACAGAGATTTTGAAAAGATTCTGATTATAAAAAGTCTGAAGAAACTCTGCAGAGTCTGAAAAGATTCTGAAGAGATTATAAAAAGATTCTGAAGACTCTTCAGAGATTCTGAAGAGTTTAAAGAGCTTTTGAAGATATTGAAGAGATTCTGAAGAGATTTTAAATAGATCCTGAAGAGATTATGAAACGATTCTGAGGAGATTACAGAGATTTTGAAGAGATTCTGAAGATATTCTGAAGACATTATACAAAAATTCTGACGAAATTCTGCCGAGATTTTGAAGAGATTCTGAATATATTCTGCAGAGATTTAGAAGAGATTTCGAAAAGATTCTGAAGAATGAAGAGATTTTGAAGAAATTCAGAAAAAGTTATAAAAAGATTCTGATGAAATTCTGCCGAGATTTTGAAGAGTTTATGAATAGATTCTGAAACGATTAAGAAGAGATTATGAAAAGATTCTGAAGAAACTCTACAGAGATTCTGAAACGGTTCTGAAGAGATTATAAAAAGATTCTGAAGAGACTCTGCAGAGATTTCGAACAGATTCTAAAGCGATTTCGAAGAGATTATAAAAAGATTTTAATGAAATTCTGCCGAGATTTTGAGAATTTTGAACAGATTACAGAGAGATTTTGAAGAGATTCTGAAGATATTTTTAAAGAGAGAGAAGATATTTTGAAGAGATGCGGAAGAAATTTTGAAGAGATTCTCAAAAGATTCTGAAGGGATTTTTGAATAGTCTGAAGAGGTTTTGAAGAGATTCTGAAGCAATTCTAAAATGATTCTGTAGAGAGTGTGCAGATTTTGAACAGAGTGGAATCACTATAAACAAGTGGTCCTCTCAAAAAATTTCAATTTTTTCGGTTTTCATGATGCACAAAAATCCATTCTTATCGTTTTTGACTTCTTCAATGACAAGACCGGACATGTCGCAATAATTCTCGGATCAGCCAATTCCTCAAACTACTGGTCACAACCTAAGGATGCCACTGATCTGAAAGAACTTACACTAATGACTCCTGTACAACAACAAACAAATTTAATTATTTTCATACACGATTGACAGTATCTGAACCTGCCTTAGTATTGCCACGTTGCAAGCTTTTATTTTTTCTGCTCATACGCATAATCTACTTCACTCACAAAAATGAACGTTTAATATGCCAATTCGGGTAATAATATATCCGATTGAATTCGATTCGTTGCAAAAAAATATTTATTGAACCTTAACATTCTAATTTCATTTGTTGTAGGATAAAAGATGACCTAACGGTATCGTGGAGCGTTATCAAGAACGAAGACATTGCAGATCCCTACGTTGTTATCAGGGGAATAAAAAACGCGAAAGATGCATTGTACGCTAAAACACTGCCATATTTTCAAAGGAAATTGGAACTAAATATATTTAAAGAAAACCTAGCGAAAATCAAGAGTTCCAGGCGCGATTACGAAATATGTGTTGTAGCGAGGAATAGTTTGGATAATGTTAGGAATTTTTTCCAAAATCAATGTCGCGGACTTGACACGACAAATGGAACTGCGAGATATGTTTCCTGGAATATTTATTTTATTTTTGTTTTGTTGCTTGTAAATTATTTATTTTAATAAATTGTTGTCTTTTACGTTGGTCTAATGTTCTTTTTTGGTACCGTCTAATTGAACACATTGTGTGGTGGAGTTATTGTTTATTTTACATTTCCTTGTTTTTAAGCGTGTCGGTTTTCAGTCAAGGTAGTCACACTAACAAGACCAACTACAGGCTCTAAACTGAAACAAACCTTTATTTAACCTAGTCTTAACTACCAAACCTCTAAAAATGCTCCTGCACCCACGTGTTCCTTTTTATTATAACGGACCGTACTTAGTTGCTTCAGGCTTCAGATCGGCGAATAAACTAGGAAAAATTTGGTGGGAGAGTGGCTGAATTAGGCGCCAATTAGTCTTCAGTAAATGTCGAGAGAGGAGGAAATACTTACCAAAAAGGGTAAACAAGGCAAACTAAGCCTTTGTTCTGGGGAGCTAAAAGGGAATAAAGCACTTGATAGGGATAGAACATAAACAATATCGCCTATAGCAATGTGAAGTTCTGACACTGAGGCTAATCGTATACTGAGAACTGCAATTAATACTTAAAATGAATAAAAGGGAGCACATGCTTATACTTGTAAAATTCAAAGTAAATACGCGTAAGTGCCCTTCACACTGAGCTCCTCGGCAGCTCTGCACTGCGTCCCCTCCCACTGCTCAGCAGTGCGACTAAGCAGCGTTGCTACGTTGCGTCGCCCAGTATGAAGGGCATTTACGAGTATTTACTTTGAATTTTGCAACTATAAGCATATGCTCTCTTTTATTCACATGGGCCATTAACTCGAATGACTAAACTACTAAAGGAAAATTTGGTTCGACTACTAATTGTCCTTAGGTGAAAGCATAAAAATGACGTTAGATTTTAAGAAAAATATTTTAAAAGGTACATACGCCTAAATTTCCATTCAATAGCAATGTAAACAAACTAGTATGAGTAAATGCTTCGAAGCAAAACAAACCGTAACTGAAAAATCGTTGGTTTTGGTCTCGGACCAAATATCGTCAACTTCAAAACGTGTTTACAAAGCAACGGTATCTAACATCTCAAATAACACAAAAGTAGCGTAAGTGAAACCGGATGTATCGGGGCAATTTACACAGTAACAATCTCCAAACGTTTCGTAAAAGTTACTTGCGATTGGGTTGCCGAAGCAAATGGGTACATCTCCATGTATAAATCTCGAAGTAGGTCAATGTTGATAGAACGAAGTAGGTCAACGAACTGAGAAAACTGAGAAAATCCAAAATTCAGCGCTTCCACTTCGAAATATCGATGTCGAAAGCACAATCCGGTAGGTAATAATGAAGCAAATCGTAAACCAAAAGTAAGAAGTAAGAAAAAAACTCGCAAAACGGCCTTAAAATTTGTAAGATAAATCCGCAAATAGCGTCAGCGAAGCTCGAAAGTAGAATAACGAGAGAAAACTTCACTCAATTTAACACAGCGTCAGTTTATCCCAAAAATGGTCGACAAAATTGTCAAGTAAGCAATTGCGTGTATCGTCTTGCAAGGAATAATTGAGAATGCGTCTTGTACAAGGAGCGCGGGTCGGAAGTTCTGTGCGGCCTCGAACGACAACAGAATGAACGATTCAAAGAAATCTATCACAAGAGAATAACGAATTATTAAACTAGTGAATTACAAGGAAATTACCTAGATGGCATAAGGATTAAATAAAAGGTCGCAATCAAATGAAAGCACCGAGTAAGGATTAATGAGCGAAATCCAAATTGATACCATCAAACGACAAAACAAATCGTCACAAATCCACAAATATCCTTCTCCTTTCATACTTCAGCGCTAGAGATGCGACTGACTGGTTGTTGTTTAGTCGCCTTCTACGACACGCAGTGCCCTCTGCCTCTACGGTAGGGTTATTCTTTCTCACCCCTACACGGTTATATTTACACAATCGAGAAACTTTAAGACCATAATGGAACGTACCGTTACAAAATATATACGAAATCTATCCTTTTATTCTCAAGACAGATCACATTAGGTACAATATACTTTACGATGGTTCACGTTATGCTAAATATAAGAAGATTAACTGTTTTTAAATTGACCGAGAGGAAGTGTCACAAAATTCTAAATGCAAATTCCATTACAAGCTTAAACAAGTTGTAACTAACTATAATCCTGTCATAATATTCTCAACTCGTTTTTTATGCACATGGTAGCGGAATTAATAACGATAATAAATGGGATTCATTGCGATCATAAATTGATTTCTAGTAACACTTTTAGTAACGTTATGAAAGAAATAAATTAACTTTTTGATTTTGTTGTTTCGTTTATATCGCGATGCAAACTAAGGAATTCAAATTTTATTAATCTGCCTCATAAAACTAGCATAAAATGAAAACGCCGTACCGTATTTTATAACTATAGCTGAAAATAATGTAGGGTAATATTCAGTTTACTATTTAGCAATAAAGTTAGATTATCATGTGCCATACTTTCCATTATGATGTTATAAAATGTAGGTAGAGGTATCCTTTGCAATGAGACAAAGAGAAATTTGATGTTTAACAGGTAATTCTTGTGAAACGTTTCATTTTAAAGTGTTCATAGCGACATTCTGTTCACTATCAACTGATCGATACCAAATTTTCTTGTATGAGATCAATAAACGTAAATAAATAAATAAATTTTCCGAATCAAACAAGATCCGAAGACTGACGAATAAAGAATAATTTACAAATTACAAAAATTAACGTTTGAAAAATGATTAAAATAAATATTCAAGCAACAGGAGAACAATGAGAGAATTTAATTACATCGTGGAGGATCAGTCTGAATGAAAAAATTCGTCCCGATGTACCTTCCCGGTGAAGAAGAGAGAAGTCTGATCCTCGAAAAACTTCTCCTAGGAATATTCGCCACCATAATTTCTACTGCAAAAATATTTAATGTTCAAAAATGCACTAAATAAACTAGTAGGTAATGTTTTCCTTTTTTTAACGTAAGAAACTATTGAGGTGACTTTATGTAAGATTAAAAATGTATTTATGGGTATTTATTAATGTTGCAAATAATATACGTTTTTCATTGTCTAACCGCTTTCCAGAATTATACCTTTTAATTATGATAATTTTTGTAATTTTCTGGTACTTAATTATATAACTACCTAAATTTTCTTTTCACATGTCAATTTTCAAACACCTTTCTGTCATCAGTAGTTTATTAATTTGTATTGAATTACTTTTTTTGTATCAATATCTTTCAGGGAGCATTTTTTCAGTCATATGAATTGTCGGAAAAGCGTAACTTTGTTTATGTCCTTCAGTATTATTTATTAAGAAAGGGTGGATGCGGAAGAGGTGTCTCCCAAAAGCTTTCGGGAATTGACAGTTCCTCCATACTTGCAAGAGGTAAAAAAGGTAAAAAAAGGGCCTAATGCAAGAATCGCAGGGAGAATGGGAGGAAAAAGTTTAATTCCGACGATAGAGGTATGGGTGGAGAACGAAATAAGCAAAACCAATTAGTTTATAAGCCAATTGACTGGTTACGGATGTATGAATGAGTACCTAGGCAGATTTAAACAACAGAGAAAGCCGTTTGTACAGCAACTGTAACTTCAAGGATGACGCGGAGCACTCCTTTTTTGTGTGCGGGAGATGGACAAAAGAGAGGGAAGAGTTATACAGCCATGTGGGACGAGTAACACCGGACAATATAATAACAAGTACAAATTGTGCACACCCCTTGTGCAGGTAAAGCGCATTTTTTTAAACACCCCTACGAAATTTCTTCCATAAATAAGAAAGTTGGCACTGCGCATGCGCAAAACCAAATTTGGAAACTGGTGTTAAATTTTCTTTTATTCCAACTGGCTATGTATCAAATTTTATTAAAATACCTCCATAAATAAGAAATTTGGCACTGCGCATGAGCAAAACCAAATTTGGAAAATGGCGGTACATGTGGTTTTATTCCAAGTGGCTATGTATCAAAATTTATTTAAATGCTCAATGGTTATATTCCTTCAAAACGTCGATCGAGGAGGAAGGCAGTAGTTTGTAGAACTCTTCCTTTCGTTGAGACCTTTAATTAGAATACGATGAGAGATAATATTAATTTTTACCCCCCCCCCTCCCCTCAGGCCCAGTCGCACGGGAACAAACCAATTTATTTCGATGAGACCTTTCATTAGAATACCATGAAGGGTAGAACATGTGTTTAGCCCCCCCCCCCCCCCCCCCC